GGCGATGCAGCGCCTCAAAGCTTCCTTCCTCAGGAAAAACCCCTCATACGATCAGCCAATCCCGATGACAGAAGAAGTCAGAGACGAACTCAGATGGTGGCTAGACAGCATGGAGGCATGGAACGGCCGAGCCATCTTCGGAAGGGCTCCCGATATGATATTGGAATCAGACGCCAGCCTCTGGGGATGGGGCGCGACGAGCGAAAATACATCGACAGGAGGAACCTGGACATCCCAAGACCTCAACATGCATATAAACTGCTTGGAACTCCTAGCAGGGTCATTCGCCATCCGAAGCCTAGCGAAGGACAAGTCGGATTGCTGCATCCTCCTCAGGATGGACAACATCTCTGCAGTCCGCTACATCAACCGCCTAGGCGGAGCCCTTCCCGCCTCCTGTCAGAAATCACGAAGGAGATCTTCGATTTCTGCCTACCCCGCAACATCTCTCTCACGGCAGAATATCTCCCAGGAGAGACAAACCTCACAGCAGACTGGTTCTCACGTCACTGGCGGGACACCAGCGACTGGAAACTAGATCCACAAATCTTCAACCACATTGCGGATCGCCGAGGACCACTCCACCTGGATCTATTTGCGTCCCGCAACAACAGACAAACGGAACTGTACTTCAGCTGGCTCCCGGATCCGGAGAGCGCTGCAGTGGACGCATTCCTACAACCATGGCCGATCACGGGAGCCTACGCCTTCCCCCCCTTTGCCATGATAGCGAGGACCATACACTACCTGAAGAATCAACAAACCTCTCTAGTGCTCATCACTCCACTATGGAGAGGACAACCTTGGTTCCCGGACCTCCTAGCTCTTTCATACAAGGATCCTCTTCTATTACCCCATCATCAGTACATTCTCACAGATCCAAGAGGACACCCTCATCCACTCATCCTGGACGAGCGTCTCCATCTGGTGGCTTGGACACTTTCAGGGGCTCCTGGCAAGTCGGCGAACTATCGCAGGCTGCTAAAGAGCTACTATGGGACTCATGGGCCCCTGGAACCAGAAGATGCTACCTATCCGCTTGGAACTCCTGGTCCACTTGGTGTTTGGAACGGAACATCGATCCATTTACGGCCCCTATTTCAGCCATTTTGAACTTCCTATCCCACCTATTCTCATTAGGTCGGTCTTACAGATCAATCAACGTAATTCGTTCAGCTATTTCAGCAGCTCATGTCCCCATACTAGGGATTCCGGTTGGCAAGGACCCACTGGTTTGTCGACTTCTGAGGGGCATTCGATTACAACGCCCTCCAGGCCCGAAATATTCTCGATTCTGGGACGTCGACGTAATCCTCCGATTCCTGAGAGACTGGCCAACTAACGACAGACTCTCCCTCCGACAACTCTCCGCAAAACTCACAGTCTTGCTTTGCCTGGTCTCCTTCCGCAGAGTGTCAGACATTCGAGCGCTGGACATAGACGCTTTTTCTACCTCCCCAGAAGGAGTAACATTCAGGATATCTCGTCGCACTAAGACGGACTCCACATCTGTATTTTATCCATTCTTCCCCACGGATCCACAACTCTGTGTCGTCTCCGCTCTACATCAGTATGTAGAAACTACCCTACCACTCAGGTCTACGCCCTCAGGTCAACTCTTAGTATCATACGTTAGACCACATGTTCCTATTACAACAACCACCCTAGCGAGATGGGTTCGATGGTTACTATCGCTAGCCGGCGTGGACACTACATTCGGAGCCCACTCCGTACGCGGAGCAGCAGCATCCTCAGCCTTCATGGCGGGTGCCTCCATAACGGATATCCTACACTCCGGATTGGTCTAGAGAATCTACGTTCCGCACCTTCTACTTCCGACCGAACTCCGGTGCAGCCATGTCTCTTATACAACAGCGTTAAAAATGCAAAATAGGAAGCCTCCTGTCATGTGATAAAATTGAAGATTATGCTAGCGTTAGTGTACTTATAATCTTAATTTTAGTAATGACAGGAGGCGAGTATTTTCCCACCCTTCCCACCCGGAGAGGAGGGGAACTACTCTATTCATACAGCTACTACTGTCTCCTTTTCTTCCTTCTTTTCAGTCAACCAACATGTTGGCATATTGTATCCTCTATTACCATCAGCCTATCTATCTACTGTTAGACTATTCTCTGAATTCATAATATACACTGTTTCAATGCTATCCGATGGATCAATACCTATATCACAAACAGTTGCCAGACCGGTGCCTAACCTTCTCACATTCTCATTTCAGTTTAACTTCGTTTCATCCTGCAACTTCTGCGGCATAATCATTGGACTACGGTTCTTCAGATAAAGACCACGCCTTCTATCGGACGACTTCCATCACCCGTTGGTGCCGGTTCCCACTCATGCCGAGAAGTTCATCTTTCCAGTTGGATGCCACAGTTGATGTTTACTACAGACTTTATCGCTACCTTCTTCCCTGTTCCGATGTCGCTTCCGAAAGAGGAGGAGGAGCCTATTTGCTGGGATGATATACTCCCTATTTGCATTTTGATTGGTTTAAATGTTTCACTTTCTTTACTGCTATGGAGTTTAGTAAAGAGAGTTATGCAAAATACTCGCCTCCTGTCATTACTAAAATTAAGATTATAAGTACACTAACGCTAGCATAATCTTCAATTTGGTTTAAAGTAGAACAAAGTTACTCTGATTAACATGAGTCATATTTTAGCTGGGGACTGTGCATATATATTTTAGATTGCATATTTTATGGAACTGTTTGATAATGTGTATGCAATATATTTAATATTAATATAATATTCTTTACACTAGTTATAAACAGTATGAAATATTAATTGATTGTTTGCTTTTTCTCTTCATAATTAATGCTGCCTACCAAGACTGCACCCAGACATTTGGATAATAGTATATCTTTTTAAGATAGACATTTTTTAAAACATAGATATATACTCACCTCTCCTCTGTTCCAGAAACGCCACATTCGAGTTTCGTGGGCATTACTCTTCATGTGACACTCACCTCCAGAACATCCTTCACTTGGTCTCCAGTCTTTTTTTATTTGCCCTGCTTGGAGACGCTTCCCCAATCAGGGCAAACCTTCTCAGTGACGCCAATATGCTGACTTCGTTGTCAGAATGTCCGTGTGGAAACAGAGTGACGTCACATTCCTCTGTTCCTATACTCCCTAGCCAGCCCTTTAAGTGCCGAATAGGGAGAGTCCAAAGCACGCTATGCTTGGCATGGGAGAGCAGACGGACCTCATGTGAAAGATCTTTGACATTGACTGACATCTGTGAGAAAATTTTTATTTTTTATTTTTCTCCAAATCAGTACATTTGCTAGCAATACTGCTTGCACAATGTACAGATGACATTGTATGCTTGTTCAAAAGAGCATAATTTAAAAAAAGTGACCACAGGTATCCTTTAACTATAAACTACCAAGCACTCCGCTCCTAACACATTCAATTGTCCCTTTAATTTTGCCTCAGTAATTTAGAGGGACAGAATGTATAGGATAATGGAGTAAAACCATTTATTAGAAAAATTATATGTATATCAACAAGTTCGAAAAGCAAAACAAAAAAAAACATATCTAACTATAACCTGACCTACTCTTTATCCCTAATGTGTGGCTGCCTGGAATATCCCTTTAATTCCTGATGCACTATAGCACTATAAAATTCACTGTTTTGTCAATAAATCTCTGTAGGGTCTGTACTTATCTTTAGAAGCTTCCCTTGATTCTCTGTAGGGTCTGTACTTATCTTTAGAAGCTTCCCTTGATTTCCCTTCATTCGCAACAATGTCGTGAATGATAAAACAAAAATACTAGATTTGGTACTGGCACCTACCCAGTTAATTGGTCTTGTAACTAGCAGCCTGGGGGAGACTCAATGTGAAATGAATCAGAACCAAGATGTGGCTGAGGGCTCTGCTGGCAATTTGGCCAATAAATGAACAAGTTATTTTGTATTTCATGACTGAGAAATGTTCCTTCTAAGCAGCAGGCATGGATAAAGCTGGAACCTGCCGGTTGCTGAATCGTCAGTCGCTTTAGTACGTGAAAATACCATTACGAAATGTGAAATCTCTGGAGGGTGTGCAATTTCTGAAACAATAAATATGACTACCTTTTGTAATTGTCACGCCATACCGCATAGACATTTTCAAGTAATGTACAAATGGGATTTAGAATACGTGCATAAAATAGAGCATTACAAGTGTTGAAATAGCTATGTACTCTTAGCCCCTTAGGAAATGAGAGACACGGATATGTTTTATAGCAGAGTTATATTCAAATTGAGTCAAAAATAAAAATAATAAGAATAAATAAATTATCATTTATATCTGGTAACAGGAGTTGCCGTTCGGTTATTGACCGTAATTCTCATCAGTCACAGCTAAGGTGACGATAAGGTAAACACGGCTAAAGTAATAGTTAATGGTTTGAATTACGTTATGAATTGTTCCTATAAATGAGGTCATATTTACAGAAATAAATTGGTACATTGCTTTTATTTTAATTAGATTTTTTTTTAACTAAGCTATAATGATCAGCCACAACATTAAAAACCACTGACAGTATTGCTTACTTCTCTATTCCGATTTTCTATGGCTTTTCTTTTTTCTTTTCTCTCTTCTATTACGATAACATGATCAGGAAGGCTTGCGTAGTTGAAACGCCTCTAAATTGATATTTTGTCTTGAGATATTTTACTAGATTCAACTGTTTGGTGAGACGGAAACTGCAACCCCATATGAGGTGTCCCCTCCTGGTGCTGTGGGGCTGCTTTGATTAGTAACAACCAAAAGAGGTGCAAGGAAAAACAACCTGTCAACTGGCGTCATGGTCATGAGCGCCCAAGCTCATTGATGGACGTGGGGAGCGAAGGATAGCTGGTTTAATTAAAAAGTAGAGCTACTGTTGCTGAAAATAGTATTGCTCGCTATTAGTGATGTACCGAACTGTTCGCCGAACGGTTCGCGAACGGTTCACCACGAACGGTTTGCCACGGACTCCAGTCAGCTGACACATTCCAGCCAATCAGCAGCAGACCCTCCCTTCCCGACCCTCCCACCTCCTGGACAGCATCCATTTTGAAGCTGCATTCTTAGTGAGCTGTCCAGGAGGTGGGAGGGTCTGGGAGGGAGGGTCTGCTGCTGATTGGCTGGAATGTGTCAGCTGACTAGAGTCCGCGGCAAACCGTTCACGGCGAACCGCGGCAAACCGTTCGTGAACCGTTCGGCGAACAGTTCGGGACATCACTACTCGCCATGATAGAAAGGTGTCAGAACACACAGTGAATCGCAGTTTGTTGTGTATGAGGCTGTGTTGTCGCAGACTGGCCAGAGTGCCCATGATTACCCCTGTCCACCTCTGAAGGCATCTTCAATGGTGACATGAGCATCAGAATTGGAGCATGGAAGAAGGTTGCCGAGTCTGATGAATCACCTTGTCTTTTAGATCAGGTGGCTGTCCAGATGCATGTGCAACATTTACCTGCGGAAGAGATGGCAGCAAAATGTACCTTGTTAAGAAGACAGGTTGATCGAGGTAGTGTTATGCCCTGGACAATGTTCTGTTGGGTCCTAGCATTGATGTAGATGTTACATTGACTCATACCAATTTCCTATAGATTGTTGCAGACCATGTACACCTCTGTACGGCAATAGTGTTCCCTGATGGCAGTGGCCTCTTTATGCAGGATTATGCACCCTGCCACAGTGCAAAAGATGTTCAGAAATTGTTTGAGGAACATGACAAAGCATTTGCGGTATTATCTTAGCCTCAAATTCACCAGATCTAATTTCAATTGAGCATCTGTGGGATGTGCTGGAACAAATTAGATCCACCTCTCACCTTGCAGGATTTAAAGGATCTGCTACCAGATACCATAGGACATGTTGAGAGGTCTTGTGGAGTTCACAGTCACTAGTGGCACTTTTTAAGTAAGAACCAAGATAAACTCAGTTCTCACAGCTAACCTAATTTTTATTGGACGACTACAGCCCTGATCATTCTTTTTTCTTCCCCAATGCTCCATTACAACTAAAAAACATTTCTAATAAGGAGATCACATATTCTCATAGATAGGAACTGATATGCAGGTCCTCCAAAGCCTGTAATATAGAATGTACATTCCCATCATTAGGAATGAAGGTGTACAGGCTACTTACATCCATAGTGCAGAGAAAGACATTGTCAACTCTCCTTTTGTATCCAATTGCATGATCCTTCAAACCAGAATAAATTCTTAGTTAGAAGAAAACATTCTGGTTTGAAGGATTTTTTTTCCTCCACTGTTACCCTTTTTAGCCATTTCCTGCTTCACTTTCAAGTGTGTGACTGAAGGACTTTTTGGCGATTTCACAGTTTGGGACAATGGTTTGAGCTCATGACAATAGGATCTGCAAGCCGTATCTCCAGCTGTATCAGGTAGACTTCCAACACCATTATTGATGTTACCCTTTGAGGTATTTAGTTTTTTAGAATGTATCTATTGCCCAGAGATCCATGACAATTTCCTGCTAGCTACTACGTTTTTGTAGTGGCTGTTCTTTCGGGCTCTGTATGTTAACGTCTTGAGATAAACTATGTAAAGAAACCTGTATATAAATAGTACCATTATCATCATTTTAATGAGAAAACATTATATTTTCCTGGATATATACAGGCACTTATACATCCTTGAGTCTTTTTAAAATTAGCTCTTTTTGAACATTTCTAGCTGTATAACAGTGTATCATGCCAGTTTGAAGTGCTCTTCATCTTGTGATCATTCCAGACATGTATGCATCTTCTACCTCAGTAATTTATTTACTACATAGTTCTCTCCCCTGTGAAAAAAAAGAGATGAAAGCTGTTTTTCCTTTTTAGGAAAAGTAATACGTGCAATCTAACAGCATCTGATTATACTTTCCTTTGAGGGAAGTGATACAGCGTATCACCCGGAGAGTTAGGTGGAACACACAGAAGAGATGAAGGAAAATTTGATTGCCTTCCTGATGTGTGCTAACTTCAAACTACCATTTTTATGTTATTTTGGTTTTATAAACATATCTTTCTAATTTGATTTATTAAATGATTTTGCATACTTGGTAAGTATACTGTGCTGTGTCTAATCGGTTCATGATTTGCCTCAAATGCTTGCAGGTTGTTTTTTTTTTAAAAGGGTAAGGACAGCATTATATATGCTAGAGTCTGGTACCAATTGCGCCATCACTCAGATAAATATTAAATGGTAGATGAGGCATCTGCATGATATCATTAGCACTCTTTGCCCACTGATTGCCCGTATCTCCAGCAATATGCCTGTGGAACATAAGGATGTTTGGAAAAGGTGACTGGCGAGTGCAAGCTATCACATTTAATGCAAACAGGACTGTTTCGATCAAATTAGAACAAGTGATAGGTATGCAACAATAATTCAGATGACAGCAACATTGATTTGTTTTAAAAGCTGAGTAAGATAGCAGTAAAAATCTGACCCACTATCACATTCCAATCATTATGTAAAGATAAACTCGCATTTCCGGTTAGAAAAGAATGATAGGAAAACACTAAAAAATAGGGAACATTAATCTAATTTTTATTAATGCTGGAACTTTTGTATACTTACACTTGTCCAAACAAGAATTAGAATGTTACTTTAGCACTTTTTTGATTAAAAACTGTAATGTAAAACAGTGTATTGTGATTTTATCGTTAGTGTTTATAACTAGCATTTTCTTATGCTTTGAATTCATCCTGCTATGCTACATCTCGTATTTTGTGCGGCAGAGATAAGTACGTTTTTACTTACCACCATTCTGTATTTCATCCCAACAGACATTGGAGAAATGTTTATTGGATGAATTAAAAGAAACTGTCGCAATTGTAACAATTCTTCTTTAATCCTACAGGAAAAAAAAAATCCAGTATTTGGTCAAACGAGAGTGAAAATAAATACTACCACTAAAGGCTATAAATGGAAATCATTTGTGAAGATCCTGTAATTAATGTTTGTCGTGTTAAACATATGTTAGCCCTTGGAGGAATCATTTAACTTGATGGCTGTGCCTTATGTGGGTTTAGAGGGGCAATCAGAAACAAACAACAAGTACTACCGAATTAACAATAGAAAACAGTTATCTTCTAATGATTTGACCTTGGGCCTCTCCTCCTGCATGAGTTTCTGAAGTCTGGATAAATTAGATCTCATTTTCTCTTCTCGGATTTCAATTTAATTGCCGTGCAATGTTACGTGTAGGGACAAAGTTGGATGCTACGGTGTGAATTGCACAATTGTTTCGGTTACATAATTTTGCTGGTCGTTAACAGATTCAATTAAAATGTTGCATCATCTAGCCCAAAATAATTAACATCTGCTATTACACTAGATGCTGCTATATCAGGTTGTCAAAGTTGGAAAGAGGTTATTGTATGTGTATTTTTGCTGGTGACATTCGGAACTCTGTATTGATCTTTGCTGTGGAAATTGAGAGAGTGAGATTATGTGCAAAGATACATAAAAGACATTGTGAATTTTTAATGATGTTAATTGTTACTGTGTTGTTTTCCTTTACATGCTTCTATTTGCCCAAGTAGAAATATATATCTTACTATACTGAGAGGGAGTCAGAAAGCGACAATCTTCCATAATGTTCGATTTACTTTATCATGTAATGACCTGTCCTATACCTATGACTTATATTATTCGCATTCTAATTTCAGTGTATTTATGACTTATGTTATATGAAGTCTCAACCAGCGCTTTGCATATTTTGTTATTGTAACATGTTTTGTTATGACGTTAATAGTATTACTGGAAAATGTATTTTGGTCTAGAATGTATAATTGCCTTGATAACTCTCCACAATTCCAAATTCAATGATTAACATATCAGTTACATAATCATAGCTTAAACATTCTGGAATAAACCCAATTTATGATTGAAGAAGAATTTCCCCCTTTTTTTGAGGCATATTCGATAAATTTTCAAGGAATGATAATTGCCATTTTCTGATCAACATCACCAGCAGGAGTGTGTGAAAGGTTAAACTTGATAGACATCCGTCCTGTTTCCAGTGTAAATTGCTATATTAACAAGTCACTAATTTACTATGGAATATGTCCCAAAAGATAATTGAGTAAAATTCCTTGATGGCTTGATTTCATAATTGTAGAAGCAGAAAGTTGGCATTAATTTAGACATTAACATGCAAGCATGGGCTGTAAGAAAGATGGCTAACCTTTGGAAGAAAGGCTGTTGTCGAATATGTATCCCATAATGCTTAGCCTGTCAAAAAATATTGGAAAAATTGTCCACAGCAACTGTATTGCCAGCAGGTAACAGTCAGTGCTCCCCTATGAACAATGCAGTTTCTGCAACAAGAGTTTGATAGCTTAAACCTCACAATATGTGTGCCATGCATCTAATGTGAGGCCGCCTTAACATTGAATAAGAATCCACTAGCCTATTACAAGGTCATCTGCCTAGAGTTTCATCTCCACAAGCCTCTAGTGGAACTGACCTTGAGAACACCTGGTATACATGCATGATATTCTCACTTTCTAGTGAAGGTGGTGGAATAAAGTCAAAGGATGTTTTTGGCTGCTAATTTGGTGGACCAGGATCCATCTAAAGAGTCATCTTACATTGAATGACTCCAAATTCCACAGGTCATCTTGCTGGATCTGGGAAAAGAGGTTGCACCTTGTAACTGACTTCAGCTAGGACAAGCTCTTTAAGCTTGGGCAGATCAAACATGCATTTAGACATGCCTAACTAGTCCCTGAATATCAAGTGGTACCATGTATCCTTCCAGAGTTCCAGAGTCAACCTGGGCCAGAAGAAGTACCAGTTAGGTGCCAACAATCATTTCTGGAGGAAAACATTTTTTTCTCCATTCTAAGAATGATTCAGTCACCAACAGAAACAAGAGAGAACATGGGAAGTGTCTCTCTTAATGTATAGGACGAAAGAGGAGGGTAAGTCATACAGCATCATTCTATGTAACATTCTAACTCAAAATATTTATAGCTTGATTAATCCCACCAAAGCATAAACATCTCTGTAGGTACATTTTATGAAGAAAAAGAGTCACTCATTGGCATATGGGCATCTTTATCCCCTCTTAGAAGCCTTGTTGATCGAAATGGGACATAATCTGCTGCTGATATAGTGGTATGTTCCATTTCAA